ATGTGATCAGCTGGTTTTGGTTGTCAGCAGCAAAACTGGTTGATCCACTCTGAGAAGGTGCTATTTAAGAGACTGAGCTGAAAACAGCACCTCAGACTGAAGAAGTCTCTCGGACGAGAGACGAAACGTTTCTACATTTTTTGTTGTTTTGCTTTGTTTTGGGCTTTTTTGAATGTCCAGAGGACCAGATTTAACTTTTTTAGATTTTTCTACCTGGATTATTGAGCATGCATCAGGATATAAATAGTAAAGAATTTTTTTTTTTTTTTATTCATTTATCTTTTAGTTGAAAGGGGTAATTTGTGGCGTTTAAACAATTAAATAATTCTTAACATTGAAACATTTATCCCCCCCTTTATATTGATATTCCATTACAGTGTAAAGCATAAAACCATTTATGTTTGATGCTCTGTTGTTTCCACATTTCAGAAGCTCCAGGGACCTCATGTATCAGAGTGTGCAGCTTTCAAACTAAAAGACATATAGACAAAATGTGACAAGTGCATATGCACGGAAACATTCAGATTTATCAAAGCGTGTTTCTGCACATAATTCCTTCATACGTTACAAGAATGTGGAACTGAGCACACACCAGACACCTCCCCTGACATGACTCAGTTTAAATATGCTAATAAATGCAAATTTGTTCCGCATGTGGGATTCTCCTGCACAATTAGGGAAATTACAAATTTTGTGGAAAGGATGTCAGAGGCGTTCCTAAATCAGTAGTTGAACAATAAAAAGTATTTGGTACACATGCAAAAAAAGGAGCGATTGTGTGTATGAAGCTGTGGTTGTCAGTGAACGAAGTGAACCGCGGGCACTGATCTGCCTGCGATGCACTGATCTGCCTGCGATGCACTGATCTGCCTGCAATGCCCTTCTGAGACTGAGGCATTTCCCACTTTGCACATGTGTGGTATGTATGTGGTTTTATGTAGTTCAATATCATTGTTTGGGTAAATAAATGTTCAAACTCAAGAGAAAATGTGTTTAAATTACTTCTGGATTCAGAAATCAAAGAAAGTCATTTTTTGGTGAATTTACATGAGTTTCAGTGCTTTGAAAACTGACACTATAGACTGAAAAAGTTTGTGTGGCAGTTTGAATGTTCTCACAGCAGGTGAAACAATGTGTGTTATTTATCCACACGTTCATGCAACTTTTGTTTTGATACATCCCGATGTGTGTGTGGAACCTGGAACACGCAACCTTTTTGTGCGTATTCACCATTAATACAAGAGGACCCTGGGGTGCTATATACAACTTGAACATATTTTATATGAACATGCTTTGCTGTAGGTTACATTAATACAAGTTTTGGAAAACTGTGAAGAAATGTGACCTGAAAACTGGAATCTCTCATAGCTTTGAGGTCTGGGAAACTGATATCTTTAGGCAGAGAGTGTCCTCCTCTCTGGAGGGATGATACAGTGTGTTTCTGTCCACAGTACTCATCAAGCCGCACAGCTAAAGGTCATCCAGTGGAGATGTGGCTATGTGAGGAAACTCAGACCCACACTGTACATTCCCAAGCAAAAGCCTTTTAACCAATCCAAACAAATTGACAAAGACAGAAAATGCAAACTTTAGAGAGACACAAAGTTGTTTCCTTGTACTTGTTCTTTCTTTGGTTTCCATTCCTTATTTTTAAGCTTAGGACTTTTGTGCTGCACTTTATTTAGACCTGTCTAAAGTTTTTGGAACTATAGACCATGACATCTTATGCCATAAGCTCTCAGACATTGGTTTCTCAGACCATACTATCAGTTGGTTTTCTAACTATCTCTCAGATCAAAGGCAATGTGTTCATCATAATGATATTTCTTCCAGCTATTTAACTGTCAACAATGGTGTACCACAAAGCACAGTCTTAGGACCCACCATCTTCACAATCTACATAAATATAGGTCAGATAATTCCTGATACATCCTTACATATATATGCTGATGACACAGTTGTTTACTGTCGAGCTAGATCAGGTGCCAAGGTTTTCCAGCTTTTACAGTCTACATTCAACATCATCCAGTCATATTTGTTTTGTCTCTAACTGGTGCTAAATGCTGATAAAACCAAAGGGATGTTATTTTCCAACAGGAAGTCAGTACCAGCAGACCTTCCTTCTATCTTATATATATGAATGGTGTCTCTATTGAGTTTGTCGATTCTTACAAATACTTGGGCATCTTGGTCGATGCACATCTTTTTTTCAAGCCTCATGTCAAGAAATTGGTAAAGAAATTGAAAGTAAAACTGTTTACTTTTCAGAAATAGATCCTGTCCAACTCTGAATGCTAGGAAACACCTTGTAACTGCTACTTTCCTTCTGTCTATTGACTATGTTGACATGATTTACATGAATGCTCCTGCAAGCACCTTACAGATGTTGGATGCTGTCTACCATGGTGTGCTAAGATTCATAACTGGTTGTAACTACCATACCCATTATTATACTCTGTACACTGATTAACTGGCCATTGTTAACCTCACACAGACTCTCTCACTGGTACATTTTCATCTTTAAATCACTCCTTGGTCTGTTGCCTCCATATATCTCATCCTACATGTCACTTAGTCAGTGCAGCTACAATGTGCGCTCCCAAGACATCATTACCTGCTGTGTTCCCTCAGTGCAGACCGAATTTGGCAAAAGGGTCTTTTCCTACCCTGCTCCTGTTTTCTGGAACACCTTGCAAAATGATCTGAAGCTATTGACTTTGACCTCTCTCTAATGGATTTTAAACAACTGTTAATTTAAATGAAAAACCAGTGCAGACATTTTCCTGTTTTTAGTGTTTTATAATGTAGCATGTCTTTTTAAATTTTGTTTTATATCACTTATTTTATTTACTTTTCATGTTATATGCTTTTATATGAATGTTTATTGCTGTATGTACCTCATCTGTGGTTTATGTTTAAAACAGGTCTCTTGTAAATGAGTCCTTGTGACTCGATAAGTCTAACCTGTATAAATAAAGTTTGAATGAATGAATGAAAAAAATCTGCCTGCGGATGATTAATGGAGATAAGTTTGTGTTAAGAAAAATATTCACAGTAATAAAAATAGTAAATGTTTACTTTGCCCACTGCCCTTCAGACTGTGATGGGTTATCTGTGTAACACCCAGTCACATCAGGCTACATTAACTGTCTCGTGAAATCAGAAATATCTGCCAGAATTTGGAGTTTTACTCTTCCTCTATATGCATCAGTTACCCACATGACAGGCGATGAGAAATGAATGGAGGTATAGAAAAGAAGCTGATTTGACATTCAATTTGCAATTTCTTTGTCCTTGGTTTAATGAATTACCCACACTGTGTTTGATTTTCATGAATAACCTTCGAGCTCATTCATACTTGTTCAACACTGGAGATGAGTCAAGTCATTTTTTATTCCTGCTTGTGTTACATGCAATCTATCCCTCCAGAAATAGGGCTACATTATTCATTCTGTGCTGTGTGTGATTTGACCACAGTGTTTTTGAACAGCGGCGTTAAATGAAAATATTTTGCATGTGAATTAATCATTAGAGGGTCTCGTTCTCCATTCTTCTCGGAGCATAATGATCTCTTTTCCAACGCTGCCTTGGATGAATCTTTTCATTGTCTTTGTCTTTAAATGTGCAACCCTCTAAGGAGGCGAGGCCTGCAATGTGTTTCGCAGAGCCATCAGAGTTAACGCGTGGCGGAGCTAAATGCCATAATTTAATTGATGTCAACTTCAATAACATCATCAGCTGATCTTGTAATATTACTGAGCTATATTTATTACCCTTTAAATTCAATATGATTCTGCCTTTTAATATGTAAATGTGAATTTGAACACTTATGGGCTCCAAATATCTAGACAGTAAACAATATTTTGGACTTGTAAACGTTCAAATGTCCCTTGACCTCTAGAGATAAACCTCTGCAGAATTCTTCACAAGACACTCTCTTCTTGCATTAAACTATAATTGTTTACCAACTTCTATAATTGTATTTTAATCCTCTTGGCCGTTTTCTCCCTTTCTTCAGGCTTCTCCATACTTCAGGCCATCATGGAGGCAGCTGTGGCGAACAACTGGCAGGTGACCGCTCGCTCTGTAAGCAGCACAACAGACGCCTCAGAGTTCAGGCGCATCATTGAGGAGATGGACAGGAGGCAGGAGAAGCGCTATGTGATTGACTGCGAGCTGGACAGGATCAATACCATATTAGAACAGGTGAGTGTGACTCGTCACGTGAGGTCAGACATGGACAATACTGTGTGTGGGATACAGCTAAACTGCTGCATTGTACCCATAGCCCTATCCTACTGCTAGCATTAAAGGGACAGTTGGGATTTTATCAACTGGGGTTCAGTGGAAACATTATTAAAAGGCATTGTCTTACTTGTTGTAGATGTATTACCTAAAATTGGAGAAATGAATAGTTCTGACTGAACAGTTGAACAAAGGATAAAGTGGATTTCTACTGTCTCAAAACAACTTTCAGTGTCTCCCCTACCATTACACACGCGGTGTGCCCCTCTCCATCAGCAGAACTGAGCGCCCCGCCCTGTCAAGGTTTCTAGGGGAATCATTGGCTTTAATCTGAAAATTTTCACTGCATTCTATGCTAACAGTTTTCATTAAATCTTTACACTGCCGTCAATGATTTATCAAATTTTTTTTTTACTCATGATTTTTTTTTTATGTACACAAAAGACAGAGTAGGTCTGCACTCCTGCAACAATAATGCATCATGTAAAACATGTTCTGCAAAACAGAGCATGTTAAACTTTGTAACTACGTGACAAAAAGTTTATGCATTTCAAACGTCAAATAAAGTTATATTTATTTTATGCACAATAAAATCCCCTGTTAATCAGTTTCCCTGTCAGGTTGTGCTTAAAGGAACAGTTCTGGTATTTTTTTAGTGAAGTTCAGGGTAGAGCTTATGAATTGTCGTGAACTTGGGGCTTTTGCATTTGTTTCTGAACTATTTCTTTATTATTAATATTGTTTTTGCAATTATTCATTCATTCTTTTTCTTGTTGTTTCACCGTTTCCCTCATCTCTCTGCACATACAGTCCATTTGTTAATCAAACCAGCTGCTTTTTTTTTTAAAGATCACCCTTTTAGTACTAATACTCCTGGTTTTCCCACTCTGTCAGGTTCTATCGATGCCTTCATGTTTCCTGACCTTTGTTTTAGCCTTTTGTTTCTTATTTTGCCACTTCATTTGACAAAACTCAGTTTGGAGAAATAAATAAATTATGTCCAGAGTGGCAAACTACTGTAAAAATAGGTCCAATAGGATCAAGCCCAAACTGGATTGCTGCCGTCTGAAAACAACTATAACTTGCATAGCTGCCTATGTTAATGCTATTTTATAAACCTTTACACTACTGTGCATTTCACCATTATTCCAGCTGAATTATGATATACCTGTCAGGCATGCCTCATGTTGCCTTAGAAGTGTTACAGCTAGCTGCCACTGCAGCTGTTTGTGCTTCAAATAATCACAGAGTTGTTTTTAAATGACTAATTAGGTCTTTTGTCATGTAAAATGTTTTTTTTTCACATGAACTTGTAAGTTTAACAGACTAAAAGCTATAAAGTTCTATGTACAGCAGATAACAACAAAATGTTAGTAAAATTGTGATTATAGTAAATATTTATTTTAAAAATATAGAGTTTTCATGAACTGTTGGAAAACATCTGAGAGTTTTAAGTTTTGGCCCTGCTAAGACTCACCTGACTGCCTGGTCAGAGCTAAATGTAAGATATTGACTGTTCTAAACCTCTCCCCAGAACACCACTTCAACAGATTCAAACTTTCCCTTCAAGCTCATTTAATAACCAAAGCAGCATAAACTGAAGTGCTACTTTTGCTTGTAAATTTTTTGGGAAATATGAGGTTTTGGCAGGAAAGAAGAAGAAGTATCTGGCTGAAGACACAATGTTATTTAATCAGTTTCTGGAGCAAAAGCTGTGCACTTTTTTTGTTCATTAAACCTTTATTTATGCAGGTTAGTCTCATTGAGCCACAAGGACTCATTTACAAGAGAGACCTGTTTTTAACAAAGAGTGATGACAACAGTAGACAATCATAAAATAAAGCCTGTAAATTGAGAAGAATAAATGGAAGAAAAATGAAAGAAAATGGTTTTAAAAAAAACGAAACAAAAAACAGCTAGGTTGTAAGGTGATGTAGAATATTAAAAAAAGGAACATGTCTGCGTTTGTTTTTGCCAGGAACTTAACAGATGTTTAAAACCAGTTAGAAAGATCAAGGTCGAGAGCTTCAGATCTTTTTGCAAGATATTCCAGGAAACAGGAGCAAAGTAGGAGAAGGCCCTTTTGCCAAGTTCAGTCCGCACTGAGGGAACTCTGCATGTAATAATGTCCTGACAGCGCACGCTGTAGCTTTATCCAGTTTGTTAAGAAGATTGTGCAACCTTCCTTCTTTCACCTCCAGCTTCAGAGCAACACAGAGGCAGCCGTCTTTATCAGTTTGTTCCATTTCTTTGAGTCACAGTCATGCTTATCAGAGACAGAAGTCCACCACTGCCTGTAGGAAGGACCAGCGCCATCCTGGCCTGTTGTAGCAGTCTGCTAGATTGTCTGCTGGGAGGAATAATTGGACTGGAATTTATAGTGCCAGCACACAGTGGGTGACTGTGCTGCTTCTGGCCATTGGAACAGAGTCAGTCACGTTCATTTAAGGGTGCACTCACATTTAAGAAAACCTGAAAATAGAGGGTATTGTCAGAACTAATAACAGGATCATGTAGGCTAACATATACCATGTTTTCTGCATCTTTTTCCATCCGACTGGTATATTTTTACTGATAAACACTTATCTTGCACCTTAAATCAGTCCCTTTCCTCCTTGAGGTCAGGTTGGTGATGTTTGCCATCTTGTTTGAAAGTAAGAAGCAGCCGGAGGTGAAGCGATCTCAAAGGGAGCACCCGTTAGAAGAGACCACTCCTGTTTAATCCCTTCCTAACAACCCAAAAGCTCTTCATCCCTCGATCACGTCCATTGCCTAAGGATCAATTGAAGGTCCACCAATCCTAGTAGGGGAAACACAGCTATCACAAATAGATGAGTGGCTGTTTGTTTCATGCATCTCCTCTGTTTGCTTGCCTTACTCCACCCCACGACCCCCGCTTGTTGCTGCCTATAAGGCAATCAGTTCCAGAATCGGATTCTGCTCGTTAGCATTCATTTAGATATCGGCTTCTCCTTGAATCACAATATTCCCTCAACATCTGTATCTTCACCCATTTATTTATGTATTTTGTTCTTTTATTAATCTATTTTGATCTCAGAGTCATAGTTTAAAGCAGGATTGCTGTTAGTGTTAATTTGGTGTGTCTAATTTAATTATTGAGCTGCAAATTTCCTCCTCTGAGGAATAGGCTGAAATGTATTCAGGTTTTGTGTTAACAACAAGCACCAGCTTTTAGGAAAATCTTCAAATAGCCTTAACAAATCAGGAATAAGGCATAATAATGGCTGTCTGTTTTTTCTACATAAGCTGTCTGATGTTCTCCTGTTCCGGTCAGTGTTATCATTATTAAGTACTTTTTTCTTGTTGAGTGTTCTTCACCCTTCAGATTAACATCAGAACCATCATAATTTATTCTTTTTTTTTTTTTTTTTTTTTTTTTCAGCAAAGACATAAAATAATGCCTGAACAACAGATAACCTTCAAAGCAGCAGTGGGTTTGGTTTTGCTCCATCTTTCTGTGACAACCTCAGCGTGGAACTTTTTTTTTTCCTTTTCTGGAGCTAATTGGAATAATCCGGCCAGCTCTGCCAATATAAATGAGTCAACGGCATTCAGGGAAGCTGCTGGACTTCTCTCTGAAGCTGCCCCCTATTGGGCCATGCCATTATATAGTGAGTCAGGAATGGACCTTGTCCCATTAGGAAAATTGCACCAAAATGGCACCCACAGTCAGCCATGCGGAGACCCCGTGGCTCTGACCTGCTGCTGCAGTTCTATTACCAGTTGTAGACAGATACAGATACGTCTGTGGTGGACTGGTGGAAGAGTTGGAACAGTCAAGACCATTGTCTCCATCCTAATTCTGACATGCTGCGTTGGGCTGTCAAGGGCAAAGCCCATTCAGAAGGAATCAGAACAAGCTGACTGACGAGGGAAAAGAGAATCTTCTCAGAGGCTCAGTTTTAGGATTTAATTGTTAGTAATCCCACAGCAGCGTGATTGTCTTCATGCTAACCGATGGAGCTTGGGAAGTTGGAGATTTCCTCAATAGGCGTGCGTTGAGCTCGCAGAATGTGACGCAGTTGTTCTGCAAAAGAAACAAAGAACGTTGGGTTGCCCTTCATTAACACAACTTATAACCCAGTTGCTGCATTTCACTTATTTAGTTTTTTTGTAACAAAGTTGTGTAAAGTTGTGCTGGTGGCTCAGTTGGTACAGCGGTTGCCTCTCAGCAAGAAAGTCGCTGGTTCAAATCCCATCCCTGGACCTTTCTGGGTGAAGTTTGCATGTTCGTTCCATACATGTGTGGGTTTTCTCCCGGTACTCCGGTTTCCTCTCACAGACCAAAAACATGCATGTTAGGCTGATTGGTAACTCTAAATTGTCCCTAGGTGTGAGTGAGAGAGTGCATGGTTGTTTGTCTCTATGTGGCCCTGTGATGGACTTGCGACCTGTCCAGGGTGTACCCTGCCCCTCGCACAGTGATTGCTGGACATGGGCACCAGCGACCCCCATGACCCAAAATGGAATAAACGGGTAAAGATAATGGATGGATGGATGGATGGGTTTTTAGGCCTTTGTATTCACATGTATAAAATGTCATTAAATTAACATTTATTTGCATTTAATCTAATTTGCAATGCATTTTTTTTATCTAGCCTAGCTGAAGATGTGGGGATTTGGAATTTGTTTTATTTGTGCCCAAACATCCTTATGAACAACATTAAGCCCAGTCATGGTCACAGCGTATCAGTAGCTTTATTGGAGGAAGAGAAATAGTTTGTTAATGAAAAATTCCTAAATATTAAATAAAAAATATGAGTCTACAGAGGAATTGATGTAAAATGCAACTAATGTGCTTATAATTTCAGGACAGGAAGTCTAGTATTTTGAATAAATGACTATGATTAAACAATAATTAAAACTGTTGCTCAGTGATTTTCTGGTGGGCCAATCAACTAATGAATCAGTTCTTTTGGTTTTAATCGCGGGTTCATCAG